CTGCCGGCTCCAAACCGCCAAGGCAGAGCTGCTGAAATGATGAAAGGCTAGGTGAGTAACATGCCACACTATTCACTTCCTCAGACTCGCCCAACAGCTGGTGGTTCAAAGAGAATTGCAAAACTGGCCAAAAATCAAAACACTGAAATTTAAAAAGTATACAATGAAAATGATGAGCCAAAAACCTCAAAGATGAATTAAGTTAATATTACTATCTAAAACAAGGATGCAGGGTACAAAACTGCACATACACATCCCTACCCATACATAAAGTACTGAAAAATGACTGAAAAAATAACTGTTTGTTTAATGTAGTCTGCATAGATAATGATGATTATTTTTCTTTCAACTTTTTGGAATTTTTTAAAATTATTCTATAATCCTATCTAATAAAGAGGGAATGTGCTAATTGAGCCTCATGCTGTCACAAAGATGGTGGCGCCCACAGCCAATAAGGAGGGAATATGCTAATTAATCACCCCGCCCTCAAATATGGCGGCTCCCACAGCCACAAGATGGCGGCACCCAGTCCCCTCAGCCCCCCAGCTGCCCAGGGCCGCCCAAGGCTCAGGTGACCAGGGCCGGCCCAGGCTTGCGCTGCTGGCAGTGGCAGCAGCAGAGGTGTGATGGGGCGCCGCCATCCCCTGATCGCCGGGTCGTGAGAGAGGGCAGGCCGGGCTGAGGGACCCCCCTCCAGTGCATGAATTTTCATGCACTGGGCCTCTAGTAAAATTATAACGTGCTTATAATACAAAAAACTCTTCATTTTTAACCTTAAGATAAGTCATAACTTAAATGACATATTACTACTGAGTATTTTAGAATACTAACACTCAAACTTTGTGAAAGTGAACACATTAAATAGGGCCACAACATAAGTTGGTCCGAAAGCCAACTGACCCAACAAGTCACCAGGCAACTGGAACTTAGCACTGTGAATCAGAACACAATTCTGGGAAGGCAAGGTTTAAAGATGTCCCAGAAACAAGAACAGAAAACTCCAGACACGGACAAATGACAGTTTACTTTTACCAAACAGCTTATCAAGTGATCTTTATGTAAATACTGCAAATGTTACCAAGTCCCTCAAAAATCCCAACATTATTTTTACAGATTAGAAAAGAATAAAAGCCAAAAATAACACCAATAACTCAATTAAAATAACTCATGCTTGTGTTTACACAAAATGTGATGAGCATAATATATTCGTCACACCACTGTAATTATTCTCTGAAAATAATACTCTAAATATTATTTTGACAATGTAATTATAGTTCTTACCTCAAAAGTGGTTACAAAACTGGCACAGATACCCTGCTAAAATTCTACCAAGCATAAGGTTCTCACAAAGAAACAGTCAGAAAATAGTATAAGAACTTTATTAGGAATCAGAACACCTTTTAAAAGATTTGCAATAGGTTTGAACTAACATACTATAAATACTTTTAAAGTTTCATTGTTGAATACAAACTTCATTCTTGAATGAAATTACTTGAAATAAAATTCAGTAATATTCGTAGCTTCCTTTTTCAGGAAGGTAGCGAGAAAACTTAGCTTGCTTTCCTCTAGTAGCCTTGCAACTCGGCCTACAAGCATAAGTTGTCTACCTGAAATGGATACAACTAAAACATTAAAGACCTAAATAAATACATGCTCCATACTGAAGACACTATCATTAAGATGGCAATTCTCCCCAAAAGGACCTATAAATTCCACACAATTTCTAGTGTCCATAATATACACTGAGTGGCCAGATCATTATGACCGCCCCGTCAGTACTGCGTTGGGCCACCTTTTGCCTTCAATACTGCGGCGATTCTTCTTGGCACTGACTCCACGAGAGGTTGAAAGGTGATGGAGGAATCGGACACCATGCCTGATGAATGGCACTGTCCAGTTCTGTGAGATTTGATGGTTGTGGAACCAGCTGCCTGATGGCTCTTTTAACTTCTTCCCACAAATGCTCCATTGGATGGAGATCTGGTGATGGTGGGGCCACATCAGCAAGGTCAAGTCTCCCTCATGTTCTTGAAACCACTCCTGCACAATACGAGCACCGTGGCAGGGCGCATCGTCTGGTTGGAGGAAGCCATCTCCATTGGGATACGCCAGCAACATGATAGGATGAACCTGATCAGCAACGATACTTAGGTATGTTGTGCTATTCAGACGTTGTTCCACACGAATTAAAGGGCCCAAATCATGGCCCAGTTTTTAATTGGGTTGTTTGCCTTTTTCTTGTCAAATTATAGGAGTTAATTACACACTGAGTGGCCAGGTTATTATGACCACCTGATGTTTGTAGGCAAATTAGCTATAATTTCTTTCTGAAGTTGCTAGAGGGCCAGACCATTATAAATAGGGAAGCAGGTTGTTTACCACGACAGTAGAAGTGATTTTTTTTCTGAAGACATGGGTAAACAGTGCGACTTAACAGCCTTTGAACGGGGGATGGATACACACACACACACACTCTGAGTGGCCAGATTATTATGACCACTTGACGTTTGTAGGCAAATTAGCTGTACACTGCATCGTATGGGATATGGAAGCCGAAGGCCTATTCGAACACCTTTGCTGTCTGCAGTTACCACACGTTTCCAGTTGCATCATGCAGATGGCGGAGTGAGAATTTGGCAGAAACAGCATGAAAGCATGCACCCCACATGCATGAGTACAACCCTTCAAGCTGGTGGGGGCAGTGTTAGGGTTTGGGGCATGTTTTTCTGGCATGATCTGGGCCCTTTAATTCGTGTGGAACAATGTCTGAATAGCACAACATACCATTGTTGCAGCTCCCTAAATTGTGGACACCTCTCACACACCTCACAGAAACAGGTCTGTAAAGACCAGTCCCTCTAACTGTGGGTATCAGTGAGCAGCCAAGCCCAAAACCAAACAACCAATGTACTCATCAACTCAAACCAGTTCATAAAAAGTTTCAGAAATCGCCTCCTTTAAATGTGATAGATCATCCGCTTGCTTCAGTGAAGAGAAAATTAATCCTGCGAGATGAAATAATCTCCTACCATTTATAAACAATGAAAAACAAATCTTTGCAGCAGGGTGGGAGAGCAGAGGAAAGGGATAGCAGACTGAGGGAGACATGGGGAGATACTCTGGAGATGGAAGACAGAAGAGCATATTACACTCTGATGAAAACGAGAAAAGGGAACAGCTGAAGAGGCGGAGGGAAGGGGATCATTTCAGGGCAGAGTATCTGCGTGCAGAGGGAGGCGCTGGGTCGGGCTGATGGCTGTTTAATCGCAGCGTTTGCTTGCAGGGCACTTCCTGCAGACGTCTTATTTCGGGGCACATCGTCACGGGAGAAACCTGCTGCCCACCACAGCTCACGGGATGCCAGGGACACCCTATCTACAACATTTGTATTTTCCAGCCATTACAGACCACAGCACCTTCTGAACTCTCTGAATCACATGCCACACAGACTTAAACGCAGCTGCCTTTCCATGCAAGAGAGAGAAATCCATCTCTTACTGCCGATGGTTAATCCCCCAAGAGCACTGGGGCTTCCGTTTTGTTAAAAAATAGAGCAACAAACAGAACTTTGTAACATCTTAAAGGCAATTCACAGCTAAATCCCACAGCCTATCAATTTCTTGACAATATTTGAAAAATTACTGTTTAAAAAAACTGAGATCAAACACTTCATAAATTCTTAAGTTAACTTAATTCAAAGGCCCAAAGGAAGAATTCTAAATCAAATAGGAATATGCAGGAATTTTAACAAGTGAGCTTTAAGTAAAAACACTAAGAAATCACAGAATAGAATGAAAAGTAAACCAAGCCAGGCAGCATTTCAAACAGCTAATTTAGCCTATCGCACTCCGTGCCTCAGTTTCCTTGCCTGTAGAAAGAGATTATGACCTCAGTTCTCTACCCACCTTGCCACAGCAGCATGCATATTCACATGAAGGTAAGTATGCCTCACTTTCTATAAAAATAGGCATTAAGAACTGTATATAAATAAATTTATAAATCATTTTAAATATAGCTGGAGATTTCTCACTTAAAGAAGTATCTGTAGAATTATGTTATACTTTCTTTATTAAAACGAATTTTAAGGACAGCTTTTTAAAAGCCAGATATTTACACTGGGATTTTCTTATTAAGTGACTTGGGCTTACCCATCAAGTATTTTAATTCTCTGGGTAAATATGCCATGTATTAAAATTGTATGTTTTTTAAGCATGATGTTAAGATAATAACCCTCGCTCAAAGGCAAGTGTTGATGCTAATAGTTCAAGAACCAAAAACATTCAAAAAAACCTCGAAAAGCTTCCTAGCCTTCAGTGTAAGAGGCTTGGTTCTCCTCGGATCCCACATCAGCAGCCACTGGAGCAGAGCTAACCTGCCATTCCGGCGCACCCTTTCTTCTTTGTCTGACACATTCAGCATCTGGCTCTCCTCCATGGAATGCAAGCGCCCTGAGGGCAGGGGCTTGGGGTTACTGTTAGGATCACACCCAACACAGACTGGGGGGCTTAACCAATCAAAATGCCTGTCTCACAGCTCAGGAGGCGGGAGAGGGAGGAAGGTGTGGGCAGGGTTGGTTCCTTCTGAGGCCTCTCTCCTTGGCTTATAGACAGCTGTTCTCTCCCTGCGTCCTCACATGGACGTCCCTCTGTGTGTCTGTGTCCTGACGTCCTCTTCTCATAAGGACACCAGTCACACTGGATTAGGGCCACACACACGACCTCACTCTACCTTAATGAACCTTTTTAAAGGCTCTGTCTCCAAAGACAGTCACATCTGAGATACTGGGGGTGAGGACTTCACCGTGTGAATTGGGAGGAACACAGCTCAGCCACAGAGTAAGGAAGGAAGGTGCTAAAACTTTTAAAATAATTCTTAGGTACCACTAATAAAGTTTCTCTGCATCGTTAGAGAACATTTGCTTTAATGAATGATTAATACTCAGTGTTTAGTTTTTAAACCTTTTCAAATACATAAGTAATTCCTGAGTCTTCTGGACGTACCTGTCAGCAGGGCTTCCTGCTCCACTCGGAGTTCCCGAAAAAGAAGAATCAAATCAACAGCAATGCCGATTGTATCCAAGTTCCTGTACCGTGATGTTAAAAGAGACAAAGTTAGACACGTTCCCAAGCCTACATTTCACATGATCCCAAAGCAGCGCTGAGCCTGCTGGGCACGGTGCCTATGGCCAGCAGGAAAAACAATGGTCTCCAAAGAAAGAGTTCAGAATGTACTGCTTTCCGTAATTGCTGAACCATCAGCCCCATTAGCTCCCCAAACCTGTGACTGTGACCTCACAGGGCAAAGGGACTTCCCAGCAGGAGTATATTAAGGACCCTGAGGTGGGAAGAGTGTCCTGGAGTATCAGGTGGGGCCAACTGAACCACGGGGTGCTTCTAAGGGAAGAGAGAAGGTCAGGGTCAGGGAGGGAGGCCTCGAGCCCAGAAATGCAGGCAGCCCCTCAAAGCTGGGAAACGTGCTCCTGAGCGTCCAGGACTCTCCGTGTCACCTCAGTCACCTCAGCAGACACAGGAGAGATGGCATTACCCAGGAAGGCTCTCTGGCAACCCCCTGTCTAATGTGAGTCCCTATTACATGTGAGGCCCAGAGGATCTGAGAAGGTTATACCAGTAGAAACCCCGCCAGCTTGAACAAAATGCACAGAGGAAGGATGAAATGAAAGGTAGTCAGAGTCCCCAAATTCTACAGGTAGAAAACAGGCTGATAAAACTACTCAGCTACAAACATGTGCTACCCTTGAAGAAAAAGGAAGGATGACTCTAAGGGCGGGCCATGGGCAGAGTCTCAAGCCACGGAGGCTTAATGCCCGGCCTTGACACCTGAGTTTGCCCAACTGGATTTTGAAACTGCTTAGGGCCAGTGACTCCCCTTCCCTTCCATTCTCTCCACTTTAAAGGGCAATGGCTAACACTGTTATCCGATGCCTGTCCCACCGCTGTATTTTGGAATAAAAAAACTCATTTTCTAGTTTCACGTATCATGGGACACGGCCAGGCTCTTTTGTTCACCTATTATCTACGGCTGCCTTCACACTACCAGGGGAGAAATGAGACATTCTGACAGAGGTCACAGAGCCTAAAGTACTTATTATCTGGCCCTTTAAAGACGTACAGCAACCTCTGCAACTGGGTGACATTTACATGCAGAGCTAATCACTTTCAACAGTGTTCTCTGAGCACTTCCTGCACTGCCATGATCGGATGGTGTGCTCGGCCGCATTAGGCCCCGTTCCGCACATCCTATAAGAGCAGCCACATTCACACAACGTGCAGTGTTCATACAGATGATGTGAAAAGGTCTAAATCTCAGTAGCATCACACCTTCTGACTAACTCTTTAGTAACTTAAAGTAAACCACCAGGAAAATATATGTTGGTTGTGATCTGAATCTTGACAGGTTCAGAACTGGCTTCAGTTAAGGTTAGCCTTGAAGGCTTATAGAATCTTTGTTGTATTTCTGACTAGAAAATGTTTTATTCTGAGCTGATACCCGAAATAGTTGGAATTTCCCTTTAAAATCAACAGTAAATAAATATAAATCTAGAAGGTAAAAGGCAGGAAAACTAACAAAATTCTATCTTGGTGTCTTTATTTTGTGCAACTTACGGTCAGGTTGAAAGGAAACCGAACATTGTGACCCAACTGTAAGTTGCAAGAAATAAAGACAACACGACCCCGGAGCACGGCCCAGCCAGGAGACCGCTGGTGTTTTATCTGCCACAGTATTTATTTGTGTAACATTTGAATTTTTATAGTTTACATATATTACTTTGTACTCAAGAAAGAAAATAAAGTGAACTGTTTTCCAAGAGGGTAACATAAGCGTTTACTGGCTGCACGGCCGCTCCCCAGGCAGGGGCAGACACGACGTGACGTGCTGAGCGGTGTGCCCGGGACCGGCAGGCACTTTACACAGATCTCATCTAAAACTCACCCCGTGGAAAGAGAGAAGCCGGTGCTCAGAAAGGCGAAGGCCCTTGTCCAGGGCCAAGGGCTGTTACAGGGACGACAGTCACACACAACGGGGTCAGTGTCTCGGGCTCGTTATGGCGGCTGCTCTGAGCTGAGCTCTAGGCTGGAGTCAGAAGGACCGTTCCTGGGCTCTTAGTGATGAGTGACTCGGACAAGTTCCTTAACCTGAGTCACGGTTCTTCCATTGTAAAAATGGGGAAACAGCAGCATACTACTTCTTTTTCTTTCTTTTCTTTTTTTTTTGTTTTACATGTATGGAGCCATCGCACAGACAAACTGGTAATTATAGACCCTGCCGGCAGGAACCCTATGTTCTGACGTGTGTGGCTGCCTATGGCTGCACTGCAGCACACTATTTCTTGAATTTGTTCTCAGGACTACACAAGACACTGCAAGTCTTGAGTTACAAAACCTGGTGCTTAGGGCAGGCGCGCAGAATGCCGCTTCCTTTCCTGAGAGGTTGGCCAAGCTTTAGGACAGCCCTGCCAGCCCACAGCCAGTTTCTGCTCTAACTCCCCCTCCCTTCCCCCATCGCCGAGAGAGCCTCCCGCCTAGAAAGAGACAAAAGAAACCTGCCCCTGGCCCACTCTTCAGCACACAACTAGTTATGTTTTTAAATGTTGACAATTATTATCAAGATTATAATTGTTTCTATCCATTTGTCTGCAAAAGGGTGGCAGGTTTGGTTTAGAATTAAAGTTAAACAATCCTAGCTTTTTTCCCTCTCGCCTTTTATCTTAAAAATCCCATTAATCACAGCGAAGCCTCAGGTATCAGAACTGTCTAGGCAGCGCAGGGCGTCCCCCTCAAGTGGCTTCTGGACCAGCCCGACTGCACCCATCACCGCGGTGACAGGGAGGCCCGGAGGCTCGTCTACACTCAAGTCCAGGAAAGAAAGGTGAGCGTGCTCTTTGAGGCTTCTGACTTCATCTCAAGTAAAAATTTTTAATAAAAAGCAGATTCCATAAAATCAAAGAGGAAAGGTGTTCAGTTCTGGGAGGAGAGAGCAACATGTCAAAGAACGCGCACAGCACCGAGCAGTTTTTGCTCAGCTTTCAGCCACGTTGTAAAACAGGTGGGGCCCGGCTGGCGCGGCTCAGTGGTTGAGCGTTGACCTACGAACCAGGAGGTCACGGTTTGAGTCCTGGTCAGGGCACATGCCTGGGTTGTGGGCTCGATCCCCAGTAAGGGGTGTGCAGGAGGCAGCAGTTCAATGATTCTCTCTCATCATTGATGTGTCTATCTCTCTCCTTATCCCTTCCTCTCTGAAATCAATAAAAATATTTAAATAAATAAAACAGGTGGAAGTGGAGTCTTAAGACAGGTCTTCTTAGACCTTTACAAAACCTGCTCCCTGTTCAAAGCAAACACAAGGGCCACTAATTTACGCACTGAAACGAATGAAAGCACTTACAGCTAAGACCAGCGAGGCCCAGAGCTGCATGTGCGTGAGGCAGAGTCTGGGATCAACGACTCAGAATTACGTTCCCATCTGTGCTGTGTGGAAAACCAAGTGCCTCAAAACACATAAATGCAAGTGAGAAACCCAAAGAAGCCCCATGTAACCACACGCCGTGGCCGGTCACACCATTCTCTCCCGGAGTCCTCCCCCAGTGACACTGCAGTGCCCCAGCAGTTTCTCAGAGGCACATGCGAGGACGAGCACGCCACCTGATGGAGTTCTGGTTCACGGAGCACTCGATGCAGGCGTTGCGCAGGCACCGGAAGCATTCTGTGATCAGCTGCAGACTCGAGGCCAGGTGCTCCACGCGGGACGGGTCTCTGCAGGCCAGCTCGACGGTGCGAGCGGATCTCTTCAAGATATCCAGGACTCTTTGGAAGATAGTCCTGGGTGCAGTTTCCCTGAAAGAGGACAAAACTGTCACCAACCAGAAAACAATAACCTAATCTCCCAACATCCTGTTCAGAACACAGCCTGTCCTTCTTTCTGGGAGGGTGGGGAGGTGAGCTAGGCCTGCCTGGGCCAGCTCCCTAGTTAACAACACAAAATAAAAGAGCTACACGCACTGAGCGCTATATGCCAGGCACTGTCCTTATCAACATTTTCATGTGTTATATCGTTTAATCTTTGCATTAAGCCAGCACTGTCCTCTCCATTTTAAAGATACTGAAGGGGAGGGGCTTTGAGCAACTTGCCCAGGGCCTCGGGCAATTACTGGCAGAGCCCAGTCCCAGCGGGGACAGTGACCCTGTGCTCACTCCCAGGACAGCCCAAACCCACTTTCAGGGGCTGTTTGTGCTCCTGGATCCGCCCTTAATCCAAGTGGAATCGCTACATTTCATGTTCCAGATAGACAGCAGAGCCCTGGCCTGTCACCCAATGCGCAGTAAAGTACAGTCACCAGAAACCAGTCATGAGGCCTGACTGCCTGGGAGGCAAATACACAATCCATCTCCAGATACAGAGAGCTGGCCACACTGAGCGAGAGAGTGTGCCCGCGCGCACGTAGTCATTCAGCTACGTGTGTGTGTGTGGGGGGAGGGGGGGGCAGAGACCAAGAGCCTGCGCCCAGGGGAGAAATGAGCTTGAGCTGTCCCCTCAGGCACCCGGTTCCCACATGCCTCTCATGCCAGGAGCGGGCCTGCACTGACTCTCATTCCAAAGCTATGAAGGTAAGAATTTTTTGTACAACACAGCACCTAAATGCAAGCCAACTTCCTCATTCCGGACTCCCCGGGAACCAGCCATCTATCTCAGCGTTAGGAGTACTGCCGTGGGGACAGTGCGCGGATCTCGCAGATTCACTGACCGTGGGTTTCCTCCTTTTGCCCTCATCCTGCGATCACAACCCCTACGTCACCCTTGGATTACGCCAGATCGGCAGGCAGCTGCGCATGCATGCAGAACTAGGGACCATGAACGCCTGCGGCTGCTGGGCTTGCTCAGTGCCGGGAAGACCTGCATGTCCCCTTTCCCGCCCAGGGGAGCTACCCCCTCCTTGAGCTTCAGGGCCACGTGCGCTGGTACGCCAGGTGGTGTGTGTGCATCGCATGGGCAGCTCGTACAACCACACTGATGGTCAGCCTCTCCTTGAAGATGTCCACAGCATCCAGGGCTCTCTTTAACACGGGGTCCAAGGCAGGACTTCAAGTATTAACCTTATTTTTCCCCACGTGGCTTTCCCTTCTCTCCCTTATCTTTTACTTTATTCAATCGTTTTTATATTTTCAGGTGCTTCAAATCTGTTTTTGGAAAGAGGCAGAGTGTAAATTAATCAATTAAAAATTGAGAAATCAGGCATAAAATAAAATAATTTGCCCGCATCTCCCCAGTCAGCCGTCTCTCAGTGTGGAACGTGAAGTGAAGCTCTGACTCAGCATGGCAGTGACTGGTGATCAAATGACAAAGGAAAGCTCCGAGGGCACACACTGACCTGCCTCAGTACCGCAGGCAGCAGCTCAGGAGTAGCCACTGTCAGTGCCAAATGCCATAAAAGGCCTTCACTAACTCTCTCAGGAAAGCTTAAAGGAATACAAAATACAGTGCAGCAGACATTAATACGCTAAGAAAATACCCAAGAGTTAAAACCTTCCAAAGACTGCCAAGAGTGATCACGATCTCTACAACAAAGAATTTATTATTTAATCTTACATGCAAATAGAAGCAGAGCTCTGCAACTTGAATAATCTACAGTAAAGCCTCTTTTTTTCTAGTAAGATGGCTAAAATATGTGTATTACACTGTGATAAAGAAGCCAATTATGTCTTCTTTCAACTGGTCCTGTGCAAGCTACCTCTGGCACGGGAGTCAACTTCCTACTGTGAAGGTCGGCCCTGATGTCACTCTGAAATCTTCACATTCGGTTTACTCAAAATTGGTATCTAGCACTGCAAAAGCTTGCAATCAAACTATGGTAGACTAAACACACTGGAGAAAAGCATTTTCTTAGGAAAACTGGGTAACTGATGTTCCAGTCATAGAACAATTAATTCATGAACTGGCCTGTGATGATTCCCAATGTCACATGTTAATTTGTCATTTATGCACCATGCCTTTTTCTTTCATTCTTTCTTTTCTTTCTTCCCAATCCTCTCCCAGGGATATGTGTATTGATTTTAAAGAGAGAGGAAGGGAAAGAAACATCAATCGGTTGCCTCCCATACACACCCTGACCAGGGATCGAACCCGCGACCTAGGTATGTGCCTTGACCTGGAAGGGAATCTAACCCGCAACCTTTTAGTGCATGGGGTGACGCTCCAACCAACTGCGCCACCTGGCCAGGGCCATGCCTTCTTTTTTATTTATTACACTTTCAATCAAAAGAAAAATGTTTAACTGAGCTAGTCAATCAACGGGGTCCTGAATCCAAGTAACTATGACCAGCCACTCAAGAGGAACCATGGCAGCGTGCATCGGGCACACAGTAATTCACACCTGTGGGTCAGAGAGGGGGGGAGCTAGGGTAGTGATCACTGTCCTTTCCTGTCTCCGGGTCGCACACCCATGAACTCCTGAACATGCCAAGCACCTGCAACCCTGTGTCTGCTCCACCAGAATGCCCTTCCCACACCTTCCCAGCCAGTTCTCTGCCTGCAAATCTTTGGGTCTCCTTCATTCTCAGCCCTGGGGGGACTCCCCACTAGTCCAAGTGAACCAGTTCCCACCTCCATGCTCCACTGGCACTCAGTCCAGAAGACTGCAGTAGCACCAACATCCATTATCTTCACTTCCAGTTCCCTCCCCAGCTAGTCTATACCCACCCACCCCCGCCCCCAAAAATAGAGACTATCTTTTTTTTTTTTATCCCTAGGCCCAGAATTGGCATTCACTAATTGTTCTGTTCGATTCAAGTTTAAAGTAAGTGATGAGACTACATATCTGCATTCTCAGCGTGACATCTGCTTGTGATCCAACACGCCCCCCCCCCCCCCCCCCCACCCCCCTCCCCCCAAGCCAGGCCGGAGGCAGCAGTGGGATCAGTGCGCTGGAAAAGGGAACTACCGAGGCCTCGGCTCACCCCTTCCATTTCCATTAAGAAAGCCACGTATCCTGGCCCCAAACATGAAAAATGTCATATGTTAAGAGGTAGATATCTTCGATTGCAACTTAACAAACATCTAATTTCTCTTCTACACTATACAACAAATGGCTAAGTTTAAAGGGGGAGGGAGAGGAGTTGTAACTCAATTAACTATATTTTAAATTTCTTGAGAGCAGAGACTATTTCTTAGATGTCTGTATCCCTCTATAAAGGGGCTGGGGGAGACTCTTTCATCTAGACCAGTGGTTCTCAACCTTCCTAATGCCGTGACCCTTTAATACAGCTCCTCATGTTGTGGTGACCCCCAATTTCATTGTTACAAATTGAACATAATTAAAGCATAGTGATTAATCACAAAAACAATATGTAATTATATATGTGTTTTCCGATGGTCTTAGGCGACCCCTGTGAAAGGGTTGTTCGACCCCCAAAGGGGTCGCGACCCACAGGTTGAGAGCCGCTGATATAGACCCATAGAATAAATAACTATGATTTTATTGACAATATTTTACACAGTATGACACATTAACAACTTCCATCAGATGAGGACAAAAAGCTTTTACTCTTCTATACTTCCTTACCTTCTAAATGGCCTTGAAAGAAAGCTTTTTTGGCATTACAGGTCCAAAGTAGTTAAAATGTACTCGGTTTGCAAATTCCAAGTTCACTGTCAAGACAGCACAGCTAAATATGTGTAATGATTAACGACAGTGAAATAACTAGTAACGATCAGTCAATCGTTCCTATATTACAAATGTTAATAACAAAAATTGCTGTCATTTCTGCTTTAACCAAACTAACACAAAATATTCACAAGGACTTTAAAAAGCTTAGCTACTTCATTCACAGAAGGCAGAAAGTACTTAAGAGGACAATTAAATTCAACCGTTAGACATTCCTATTAGGTAGGAATGCATACCCTGAAGACAATATATAAATGAAATGTTACATTACACACAAAAAAGGCCAAGAAAAAAGCCTTTGAATTATACAAAAGGTAGAATTTCATTTCCTTCAAGTTTGAACAGATCTGTAGGTGTAATCTTGGCAAGTCCTGTTTGAGCAAAATTAAAGAAAACTACCCATGATTACATGTTAACAGGTTAGAGAGGTCTAATAAACTATATGTATACACATTTTACAGTCAATTCATCAGGTGGAACCTCCTACTGAAAAGGAAACTAAATGCTAGTCATTGTAATGCTACAACTAAGACTCTCACACTTGCTAAAAGATTTATTCTAATACCTTAGATTTAATTAAAAACTGGCACATGTGGTTTAGAGTAGTTTAACCACTGTCACTAAGAAAAACTATTAAATACATACAAGTTCAGAGATTAAAATAACAATCACTGGTTGTTGTTAAAACCATAAGCCCTGCCTCCTGATGTGACTGGGCTGACGGAGCAAAAACAGAAAACAAAGCATTTCTATCTCCTGCCAAAAGCAGCGAGGCAACATTGTGAAATTCATCTTTGCAGACCTCACAGCTCCTCTGACAGTCTTTGCCCACTTCTGTCACATCCGGGACTCCCCAGTTATCCCTGACAGCCCCGACCACTACCCTGTGCGGGGGGGGGGGCAAACTTTGTCTGGAAAGGGTCAGGGACGCACGTTAGGCTGTGAGGGGCTGACAAGCTCTGTCACAACCTCTAAGCTCTGCTGCTGTAACACAAAGGCAGTCTCAGGCAACACCTAACTGGCTGTGTCCTAATAAAACTAGTTTTATGGACACCGATACTTAAAGTTCATATAATTTCCACATGTCATGAAATTTTATTTTCCCCAACCATTTAAAAATGTAAAAATCATTCTTAAATCAAAGTCCATAGATCTAAACTGAATTATTAAGAAGGGCACTGTACCCTGGCCGGTGAGGCTCAGTAAGTGGAGGGTTGTCTGTGCACCAAAAGGCCGTGCACAAAAGGTCTCTGGTTTGAGTCCAGGTCAGGGCACATGCCCAGTCCAGTCAGGGTGTGTGCAGGAGGCAATCAATCGATGTTTCTCTCTCCCTTCCTCTCTGTTTAAAAACAAATCAAAAAAAATTTTTTTTAATCACATAGTTTTAATACCTTGTCTTTGTTTAAACTGCTGTGATGCTGAGCGTATATGCTGCAGTCCTTAAAAAGAAAGAAGGGAAATGAGAACCTGAGGGAAAAAGGGACAGCAAATAGGAAGTAGAAGGATCAACAGGTTGTAATTGAAAAGTTTTAAAAAGGAAAAAAAAAATAGAAAATCAGATTGTGAATTTCTAACAAAAACCACGTTGAGATTTTATTTTGAACGTCACAGAAACCACAGCTCACTTTTGGGAGAATTGATGTCTATATTCTTTAGGTTTCCTAACGTATAATGGTGTACCTCACCACTGAAGTGTTCTTTACTATCTTTTGATAAAGTTTTGTAACACTCTCAATGGTGATGATGCCACTGACACTTCCACTGTACTTACTATGTGCCCTGCAGTCTACCAAACACTCCGTGGACGCACTCCATGGCTGTAAGGAAAGTATGGCTTGTTTACAAACGGTCTTCACCTCCAATGTGACGGCTCTGGGCTTGTGGCCTTCAGAGGTGACTCAGCTAGAGCTAGCCCCGGGCTCCTTTGCCTTTGAGTGAGTGTCCGTGCCCACAGTTCCATGGCCACACCCGTGGGTCCAGAGACCACTACAAAAGCCTGGAGAATGAAAGACGCAGAAACTCTTCTGAGGGTACTACTGGTCACAGTTCTAACCTTATTTATTTTGATTTGCTGGCTCTAACTTTTTCCTGTCTACCGTGTCCATTTAAGATAATTGAATGTGAGGGGTGGCTCACCCTGACCACATCTGTATTTTGAAGTTGAGTCAGAACACCTTACCAAATAGTTCCATATGGCCTTCCAGCTCATGGCACAGATAAAAATAAAGGAAATTGCCATCACTCTAAAAGGCTCTTTTTATAGTGTAACTTAATTGATGTTCTCTCTCAACAAAGTTGACCTGAATCATGGTTGAGTCAAGATGATATGGCATCCTTAACTAAGCTGACAATTCGTGTGGGTGTTTTGTTTTGTTTCGTTTTTTGTTTTGTTTTTGGTGCATCCAAAGACTCGCTGGCCAGAGGCACAGTATGTCTGGGGGAAGCCTAGTGCATGTGCGCACACACAGAGGGCTAGGTTTATTTTCGAGTTCTGTAGAATGTTGGCTTCTGAAGTATTTACTCAATTTCCTTCATGAAAGTTAGTCAACACACTTATACAAGCAATGAGTAACACTAAGACATTTTGTACCTCTTGATATCACAGTCATCGTCATATTTCATAATTTTTCTATACTTTCCTTACTAAGAGTCTTTCCTCTATGCTCTCACTTCTATACCCAATGACTCAAGAAAATCAAATGCTCAAGGAAATAATAATACTATGAAGTGCTTATTATGTGCTAGGTCTTAAAGTAGGTCCTGAGAATAGAGGTGAATGAGAAGAATCCTGCCTTCAGATTGCTGTCATTCTGGGCGGGTTGGTAGGTGATTAAGTGGTTGTAACATCCTATACAAAGTTCTCTGAAAGAGGTAATAAGCAGAGAGTATCTTGGTTCTTCCACCTCTAGGCACAACCATAAACTACAGCAACCAGCCTGACAAGAGACAGGCAGCGGAGGGCTCAAACCCCTTCACAGCAGAGCCTAGCCAAGTGCTGGCGGAAAGCAATCCAGACGGGAGGGTGGGAAAGGATCATCATCAATTAGACTCGGGACAGGCTGCAGCAGTGGCGAGGGTGGCTTGTTGCACTAACACTCCTGTGTAGGCCCCTTTAGACTCGAAACAGCCCTAGAACAGTGAGCAACAGAGTGAACTGCGGGAGTGGAGCAGACTGAGAAATGCCCGGTGTGCCTCCTCCATCTCTGGCCGGTCTAGTTAAGGACCCCGGGGCCATCCTCCACCAATGGGCAGCATGTTAACAGAGCAGTGACCCAGCGTCCATTCGGACAATTCAGAGTTGCATTCCTCAGAGATCCCAGCGGGACTGAGCCCCCGTTGCCCACACAGCTACCAGCTTGATAAGGACAGCATCTTACAGTGGTGTCTCTCCTTCCAGTCTAGCTTCCCCTCTCCTGCACTCATCGCTGGGGGTCACTTCCGATTAAATTATCTCATCCAAGTCTTTGCCTCAGATCCTGCTTTTGGGGAAAAAACAACTAAGGCTCAGGCAGACAAGGAGATGTGCACAAAGATGGTCTCCGCAGCACTGTCTGAATTACCAAAAATTCAAGACAAGCCAAGTAGCCATCAGTAAGAGAAGAGGTAGATAAATTATGATGTTTACAACAGCTGAAGTTAGTGATCTAGCTCTCTGGGATGAACACCAGTAACACTCAAGACAAAATGTCGATAAAAACAGGAGCTGCAGAGCTTACAGCATCCATTTATGAATAAGGGAGAAATGGGATTGCAAAGTGAAAGACAGGGCACCCCTACCCGATCCCCCCTCCTGGTATTCACACCCTCTAGGTGACCCCTCCTGTGCTCCCGCTCTGTGACCACTGGAATATGCAGGCGTAAGGGTGTGCCGTTTCCAAGGTCAGGGTATAAAGGCACCACAGCTTCCATCCCAGCCGCACTCTCTTGGATCATCTGGTTTGGAACG